AGACATTTAAAGCAATTCAAACCTCTAATAAGAGCCAAAAAGTCGTACTTAGTACACTTATTACTTTTTATCTACTAAGGAGAAATAAATTGTCCACTTTTTGAAAATGTAGCTAGCCTAAATTGAGATGTGATATAAAACATTTACTGGATTTCAAAAACTTAGTACTTCCCAAAATATAAAATAGCTCAGGAATAATTTTATATTGACTACATACTGAATAATATTTCACACACATTATCTTAAATGAAACATAATTAATTTCATCCATTTCTTTTTACTTTTAACAAATGAATTAGAAAATTTTAAATTATTTATCTGGCTCAAATAATATTTCAATGGGACAGAATTTTCTCAAAAAAGATGTAAAGATTTCAAAATTGTTCATGAAAATAGAACCTGTTCACAGTCACACTAAGATAAAAGAAAAGCACAATAAGGCAGTAACTATGTTGTTTTTCTTACCTCAGTTTAAACTGCTATCAAAAATATGGTTAGTAACTAGATTTGCTACAATTTCCATAGAGTAGATTAATGATTTTTCTTTCTTCTTGAAATTTATGGTTTTCTAATATTAGCTAACTGCATCAAATGATGAGTACATAGTTAAAAATACAGACAGTATTAGAAGTTTCTTTGTAAATAAAAGGAACAGCTTACCATGTCTTTTTACTCTAACTTCATGATAAGGAAAAATATTTTTTTTGGATAATTCCAGCAACCAACGAACGGCAGATTTACACAAGCCCACAATTTCCACAGCAGACCCATCTCTAAAATTAAAAATAAATTTTATTCTCTAAGTAGGATTTGTTTAGGCACTATTTTAAGAAGGAATTTGATAAACAATTCTGATAAATAGTACAACCATTTCATTATAAAAGCAACTATCTACTAAGAAATCCTAACTTTATAAGGAATATATAATTTTGCTGGGGACTGAAACCCGGCCTCACCCAAATTAGAGAAGTGTTCTACCAGGAAGCTACACCCCTCAGTCCAGTAGCAACTATTTAAAAATTATTTTTTAGATAATTCTGACTGAAGATAAAATTTGAAGAAAAGAGCTTCTCAGCTTAATATAGTACAAGAAGCTATTTGTTGATAGCTTCTGAAATAAAAAAAGAAAAATGACAAATTCTGGCACAAAAGTTTAAAGAATTACGAAGAAAAAAGATTCCCTTTTGATGAAGTGAAAAGACTTTATAAAAGACAGAACAACTGATGGTTGCTCATATTTACAAAAGATATGCACAATGAAATATTAACCATTGGGATAATAGATCATAAGACTTGATTTTGAAGTACTTGCAGAGGCTAAAACTTTGATAATTTCTAAAAAAAAGAACAGAGAGCTTTGTTATATAACATATATCAAAAGGAACATATCTGCATGACAAGGAGAAAGAAAGGATGAGTCAGAAAATAGAAGAGAGGAAGAGAGGCAGATTTTTATTGATTTACTATGAAGAATACATCATTAATAGAGTAAAAGATTCTACAAGTATGTGTTTTTAAAAACTGAAATGGTAAATTAAAAGGGCATAATTAGGGGCTGGGGTTGTAGCTCAAGTGATAGAGCGCTCACCTAGCATGCCTGAGGCACTGGGGTCGATACTCTGCATGACATAAAAATTAAAAAAAAAGGTATTGTATCCACCTACAACTAAAATATATATATTTAAAAAATATTTTTTTTAAAAAAAGGGCATAATTACAAAGGCACTTTAAAATAAACACTACCTTGGAGTGGCTGGGATTCCTCGGTTTCTAGCTCTGTCACTTTCTCCCATTTTATCCATCCATGTGCCACAATTTAAGCGATTTCCTCCATAAATAAATCCTGTTTTGTCATCAACCCCTGCAGTCATATTAAAACCTAAAAAACCCAAAACATGTATAAAACAAATGTTCTATAACCGGTACATATTATATATAGCAAATGAAAATTAATGTTTTAGTTAAAATATTTATACAATTTATAGGAATATAATAAACCAGGACAACTATTCTGAAGATCAACTTGGTAATATCTTAAAAACTAGAGACGTAAAATTGAACAGTAGTTACATTTCTTTCTAAATATACTCTAGGGAAATCCTTACTTCTGTGTACATGGAGATGCTTATAAGAATATTCATCATTACATTGCTTTTATCAGCAAAAAAATAAGCCACTCAGTAGAGGAATGATTAAATGCTGTTTATATATGGAGAAACACTCTCTATCATATAAAATTAAAGAAGTAGATTTATGTGAACAAAAATACCCAAGACAAAATGATTGGGTAAACAAGTCATAAAAGGAGATGTATAATAAAAACTTTTTCTGTAAAAGCTTAAAACAGATAATACTAATGTATACAACTATTCATGTCTATCTGGTCTATAAGAAACTCATGAAATTATACACATATTTGTGTATAATTTTAAAATACATCTAATATTTATACAGTGTATATGTTATAGTACACTGAATATATACAACACAACATAGATCACATGTAATTTGCATATACTTGAATACACACAAAAGCCTAAAGCATTAAAAATATACATGGAAATAGTGAACCCTGATTATAAGATAGTCATTAATTCTAGAGAGGAAAGGAAGAAAAGGAGAAATGAAGCTTTGGATATACCTGATATGGTTTATTTCTTTTCAAACAAAAACAGAAAGATCTGAAGAAAATATAACCAAATGTTAATATCTGCTTAATTTGAGTACTAAGTTTGAGGTAAAATTTATACCACTATCTGTAAGTTGAAATAAAAAATGAAATTAATTCAAAGATATCACAAAATATGTTCTTTAAATATAAAATCTATTTCTATTGATTTACTGAAGGATAAAAGAACTATAAGTGATTGTTAGCAGCTAACTTGGGTTAGCAGGGTTAGTATTTGAATGTTACTGCTAGAAATAATAAATTAATGATTTTAAATTAATATATAAAATGTAATTTTGAACATACAATATTTGCCAATGAGTTTAGTGAGTTACCTAGAAACTCAAAGGTTCATTACGTTATGTTAAAAATGGTGCCATTTTATTAATATTAACATATTAATATATTTTAAGTGTAATATTATATTTTAAAATCATAAATTATAAAACCATAATCATATTTTAAAATCAAAAGACATATACTTCCTTCTAATATTTTTATACAGTAATATTTTTATAAATGGCTTATATCCAAATATTTTTTATTTACTAGATTTCACATTTGTGTGTCAGAGGTATAATTTTGTAATTTTTTCATTCTGGTCATTGTAAATATTTTATGTTAATTGTAAAGGCTATTTCTTCCTTTTATATAATTATAAATGATGGTATGATCAATATCATCATATAATATGACTTTTTTGTGTGTTTTAAATTATTTCATAGGCTAGATACCTAGGAGCAGATTAAATTAATAAAAACATAAATATTTTATATCTCTTTTATTTATATATGACAGCGGAATGCATTACAATTCTTATTACATATATACAGCACAATTTTTCATATCTCTGGTTGTATACACAGTATATTCACACCAATTAATATCTTCATACATGTACTTTGTATAATAATGATCATCACATTCCACCATCATTAATAACCTATGCCCCCTCCTTTCCCTTCCAACCCTCTGCCCTATCTAGAGTGGGATAGGGAGCGGGAGCATGGGAGGAATATTTTATATCTCGATAAATACATTTGTAAATTTTCTTTCTTTTTTTTTCTTTTTTGGAGAAAGGGTCTCACTAAGTTACTTAGGGCCTTACTAATTTGCTGAGGCTGGCTTTCAACTGGCAATCCTCCTGCTTTAGTCTCTCAAGCCATGGGATTACAGGTATGTGTCACCATGCCTGACTGTAAATTATTTTAAAAAAGGAATGCCATCACAAATTGGTGTGAATATACTTAGTATACAACCAGAGATATGAAAAATTGTGCTCTATATGTTTAATAAGAATTGTAATGCATTCCACTGTGACATACAAATAATAAAAAATAAAAAAGGAATGCCATCAGTAGTATATAAATACTTCTCAAAACTAAACATTTTTGTTTTTGTTTGAATGGATCCCTCCCCACAAATTTAAAAATTGTAATCCTGGCCTCCAGTGTATCTGAATGTGACTTTATTTAGAAACTGAACTTCACAAAGGTAATCAAGTTACAATGGTCATTAGGGTGGACCCTAATCCAATCTGACTGGTATTTTTATAAGAGGAAATTTGGGCACAGATACACCCAAAGGGAAGATGATGTGAACTATAGGAAGAATGCCATGTGAACATGAAGATCCCATACTAAATAAAGACAGAGGCTTGGAACAGATTTTCCCTCACAGCCTTTTTGAAAGTTGCCTTTTCTCTTCACCTTTGAATAGATCCAGTATTTGATGAAACTCATGAAAGTGGGTGGCAACTGTTTTGCCCCTTCTCTTTTCTAGGGTGCACTCTACATGTGACTGATTTCCAAGGAAATTTGTTTGCTACTTGCTGGGGTTTTTTTTTTTGGGGGGGGGGGAGAGGGGAATTAATTTCTAACTTCTTCCACTGATAAATAAACCACATGGATTGAGTTTGTAATTAAAAAACATTTTTTTCCTGTCAGTCATTGTCTTATATACTTAGCACAGATTTGCAATTCAAAAATGTATGGCCTTCTTGGAACTCAGCTGTAGACTTGGCACATAGCGGTGTGGTGCCAGAAGACAGATGCCTACAGAACGACTGGCATCCTTTCAGGTTTGAGAATGTAGGCCTGCTTCATTAAGAAGCCACGGATGTGGAGAGAATACTTAGGATGTGGAGAGAACACTTACCAACAAGGGGAACAGCCAGGGTAAGTCCTTTATTTCTGTTTGGCATATAAAGACCCTCTATCCCATTGAGATTCTCTAATGAAAATCATGGAAACAGTCTGGAAGAGAATCTCTGTAAGTTTTAAGAGGGTTTTTTTTTTTTCTTCCAGCTTATTTTGGTTGTAATTTCTAGTTTTGAAAAATGTTAGATGGAAAATTTCATTTTAGAAATTTTGGAATTCTGATACACATACAACATGGTTGAACCGTAAAAAAATTATGCTCAATGAAATAAGCCAGAAACAAAGGGCAAATATATTATTATTTCAATTATATGAGGTACACAGACTATGATTTAGATGTGCTGGAAGCTTTAAGAGGTGTGGCCTGATGAAGGTGGTTGAGTCACTGGAGACATTACCATTGGAAAAGATCAATGACGGCCTTTCAGAGTGGGTTAGGTTCCAAAGAATAAGAATGATTGTGACCCCTAAATCTCTGCCTTTCTTTCTTGTCATGAGATCTCCCCCACACATAATCTCTCCCACTATGAGGTTATCTGTCATGATGTGATATAACCAAGAGGGTCCTCACCAGACGCCAAACTCAACAGGGATGTTTCAGCTTATACTTTCGGCCTCCAAACCTTTGAGCTAAACAAATCTTTTTCTTTATAAAGTGGCCTGCCTCAGGTATTTTGTTATAGCAACAGAAACTGGACAAATACATTCAAATAGTTAAATACATAGACACAGAAAGTAGAATAGCAATTTTTAGGAGCTGGGGAATGAGTACTTATTGTTTACTGGGTAGTTTCTGTTTGGGATGACAAAAAAGTTCTGGAGATGGATAGTAATGATGGCTACACAACAATGTGAATGTAGTTAAAGCCACTGAACTGCACACTTACAAATGGCTAAACTGGGACATTCTATAATAAAAATTTTGAAACAATATTTTTAAAATGCTTAACAGTCAAAAAACCAGCAATCCAATTAGAAAATAAGCGAAAGACACAATTAGGGAAGATGAATGGCAAATAAGTACATGAAAAGATGTTTAACATTAGAGAAATGCAAATATTGTATAGCAGTCTACACAACCATTAGCACTTCTTTGAAAACAAAACAAAACTCCATAACAACAAATGGTGATTCAGTATAGATGAAAATCAACCAGAATGGTACAACCATTCTGGAACATTGTTTGGCAATTTCTTATAAAATAAAACAGGCACTCATTATATGACTGATTCATATCCTTGGGCATTCCCTGAGAAATGAAACATATGTGTCATGTAAAAATCTACATATGAAATATTCATATTAGTTGTATTAGTAAAAAAATGGAAGTACCTAAATGTCCTTCAGTGGATGAATGGTTAAATAAATTCTGACATCCCTAAGAGGGAATACTATTCAGCAACAAAAAGGAATAAACTACAATGCATGCATCCGCTTGGATGGATCTCGGGGGCATTATGATTAATGAATAAAACCACTCAAAAGGTTATATGCAGTATGATTCAATTTACATAACATTCCCAACATAATAAAATCATATATAGAGAGAACTGATTAGCAGTTGTTAGAGTTCAAGTGTGGTAGTAGAGTGGGTAGGTGTTAACTATAAAGGCAAACAGACACAAAGACCTTTGTGGTAATGGATTAGTTCTATTTCTTGATTGTGGTAGTGGTTACATGAAGTTATACATGGAGTCACATTTCACAGAGTTACATGCACACATATATGCAAGTGTGAGCATATATGCACAAACACGCAGACACACAGATGAGAAAATGTAAAAACTAGAAACCAAATCAGGTTTAGTTAACAGTTAATAGGCTAGTTAACAGTATCATACTAATGTCAATTTCCTAAAGATACTTCAGTTATATAAGACATTCCCATTGGGAAAAGCTGAGGGAAACTGGGAGAATGGTTCATGGTTATCCATGTATCACTTTTTTGCAAACTTTTATGAATCTCAAATTCTCTCTAAACTATAAAGTTAAAAAATTGATACACATGGCATTTGCTATTAGATGGATAGAACTGGAGAACAGCATCTAAGTGAAATAAGACAGATCCAGAAAGTCAAGGGTATACTGTTTTCTTTCATATGCAGAAGCCAGAAACAAGGAAAAAAGAAAAGGGTACAGATCCCATGAAAATTGAAGGGAGATCAGTGGAGCAGAGGGGGAGGGAGACAGGATGGGAGAGGAACAGTAGAATGCAATTGACCAAATTATGATTTTAACCGTTATGTACATCTATAAATCACCAATTAAAACTATATAAATAAATAAATAACCAGTAGAGTAGAGGAAAGGGAATATGGCGGCGTGAACATGGGTGGAGGGAATACGGGAAGAAAAGAAGAAGTACTAGTGACTGAAGTGGAACAAATGGTTGTGTGACTATCTCAAAATGAACCCAAAATTATATATAACTATAATGCACTAACAAAATATTAAAATGACATATAAATAAAATAATACATGTTTTATAAAAATAAATATACAATAAATGCATTAGAATGATTCTCTAAGAGAAATAGGGGAAAAATGAAACAATCAGCCTTGCATTGGCTAGTAATGATTGTGTACCATAAAATAAGGAAGAAGAAGTTAAAAGTTTATCAATTTTAACTTGATATACATATATCCTTTTTGTAAAAACTGTTTTATAGGAGCCTAAGCCAAAGAGAGAGACCAGGGAAAAAATCGTAGTTTGCCACTTAGTAGCTCTGTGGTTCTGGGCAGGCTACTCTTCAGTTTTCTCATTTAGTAAAAATGAAAACAAAATAACTTGTTCCAAATGTTCTTGGGAGTATTAAATTGGAACAACATAGGTTAAGTAGTCAGCACAATGCCTACCACATAATGACTCAATTCGTGGCAATTAATATTGATATTATTGGGGCTGAGGATGTGGCTCAAGCGGAGGCGCGCTCACCTGGCATGCACGGGGCACTGGGTTCGATCCTCAGCCCACATAAAAATAAAAATAAAAATGTTATGTCCACCAAAAACTAAAAAATAAATATTAAAAAATTCTCTCTCTCTTTAAAAAAATATTGATGTTATCATTATAAATTGGAACCATCAATATTACTGTTAATATTGGCTGACTCGAATGATATGAAATTTCATATTTCCTCTAGAAACTAAAAACTAAGTGAGATCAAAAACAGTGTTATCTTTCTCATTGTTACATCCTAAGGTTTTTCACCCATTACTGCAAAGTGAGAGAATGATTACAAGGTTTAATTTCTCTGCATCAGTGAATATTCACTATGGAGTTAAAATTCCATACCTTCGTCCTTCATGTTTCGATCTATCTGTGGTCCAGCATTCCTTTCTCGGAACTGTATGCCTTGCATGTGTCTTTGCATGGCTTCCTGAATTACTTCAAACAATGGCTGATCCTGTTTGAGACAGAATGGATGTGACCTCTATTAGAAACTACATACTTATCTTCTCCTAAATCCCACAACTTAAGTAATATGAAAACACATACTTTTCTTTGGAGGGAGAAATAAGGATTGGAGTAGGCCCAGGGAAAAGCAGCAGCTCCCACTACACAAAATAATTCAATCTGTCATATGAATATTTATTTTATTTTATTTTATTTTTTATTGTTGGCTGTTCAAAACATTACATAGTTCTTGATATATCATATTTCACACTTTGATTCAAGTGGGTTATGAGCTCCCATTTTTACCCCATATACAGATTGCAGAATTACATCAGTTACACATCCATTGATTTACATATTGCCATACTAGTGTCTGTTGTGTTCTGCTGCCTTTCCTATTCTCTACTATCCCCCCTCCCCTCCCCTCCCCTCCCCTCTTCTCTCTCTGCCCCCTCTACTGACATTCATTTGTCCCCCTTGTATTATTTTTCCCTTTCCCCTCACTTCCTCTTGTATGTACTTTTGTATAACTCTGAGGGACCTTCCATTTCCATGCAATTTCCCTTCTCTCTCCCTTTCCCTCCCATCCCTGTTTAATGTTAATCTTCTTCTCATGCTCTTCGATCCTACTCTGTTCTTAGTTACTCTCCTTATATCAAAGAAGACATTTGGCATTTGTTTTTTAGGGATTGGCTAGCTTCACTTAGCATAATCTGCTCTAGTGCCATCCATTTCCCTGTAAATTCTATGATTTTGTCATTTTTTAATGCAGAGTAATACTCCATTGTGTATAAATGCCACATTTTTTTTATCCATTCATCTATTGAAGGGCATCTAGGTTGGTTCCACAGTCTTGCTATTGTGAATTGTGCTGCTATGAACATCGATGTAGCAGTGTCCCTGTAGCATGCTCTTTTTAGGTCTTTAGGGAATAGACCGAGAAGGGGAATAGCGAATATTTAACATTAGTAGTTTTAACTATTCAGGTCTGTGACAAAAAAATTTGTAATTTTGCAGATAGGTGAAATGACGAGCTTGAATAGTTTCTATCAGAACAATAAACAATAATGAGTTTAGCTTGTCATTTAGCACCTAAATATTCTCACTCCTCTGCACATATAGGTAATAGTGATTAAATTATGTGCAAAAGTGGTACTCTCAAACATGGGAATCTGTGATGACTTCAGAAAATATCCCAGTGAATGTAAAGAGTCCACAGATAATTTTCTTTGCCCACATTAATAATAAAGTAATACTTAGGATGACATATAGGGAGATATAGAATTGTATTTTTTAAAAATAAGGTGAAGCATATAAACAAAAAATGAAATTTAGAGTCCTCATATATTTGATTATACTTTATACTTTATTTTTAAAAAAAAAAACCTGTAAATAAATCTGAATCTATCATATAAAAATTCTTGATATAGTTATAAAATGTATGAAGCACATAAAAATACTGTGCAACTTTTACCAAATTTTGAGAAAATAAATAGATCTAAAATAAATACCTACTTGATAACATTAACCCATGTAGGACAATGGAACGAGATAAAGAATTATTTTTTGACAAATGTCTTTTGAATACTTCATGATAAATATAAACATCATGGGGACACAAATATGCTAGCCCTGAAGCAGTTTTCACCACCCCTGAAGTCTTATATTGAATACATGATAACAAAAGCAGATCAGAAGTGACAAAAAACGTAGTATTATTGTACATTCCCTATTGGGGAAAAACACTCAAAAATGTTTATCAGTTCAACATCATTCATAAGATAGACTCTGAACTACCTGGATTGGTTGACAAAGCCCTCTACACCTGATTCACCCTTTCCATATTCTCTCACTACCCTCAGGTGTTTTACACAGAAATTGAAACTAGGCAGAGCAGTATGTCCTAAACTGTGCTTCAACTCAATATGCTTCACTGTTCCTTTCATCTTTCAAGTCTTCCCATACTCTCCCACAAACTCTCCTAAAATCCTACTCACATTTTCAGAGTGCATTTAGGTGAAATTTTAGTTACTTTATAAGTCCTCTTCCCTGAGTCCCACCTACTACTCCTCTCTCCCTTTTATGAGACTACATAGTACTACTTGTCCATCTTTGCAATGACCATGTTTATGTGGACACATCATCTCTTCTACCATGTTACAAGCTCTTTAGGCAAGGAGCAGTTTTATGTTTACTGTATATTAGGAAATAAGTCATATTTCAAGAAAAAATGTTTTAATAAATTCTCTTTACCAGTGTGCCAGCAGGCAAAGGAGCAGAATCATCTGTTGGATACATTCTGGAAACTGGGCACTTGAGAATGTCTACACCATTTGGAACCATTTTACAGTAATCCTGAATACACTGGAGCCACCACCACACAGCATCCCGGCAATTGTATCTGGCATAAGTTCCTTCACCGAGAAGATTAGGAATGAGACCATGCCTCAGGGTACCAGCAAATGCTAAAATAATATTCCTAAACAACAGAATTGAAGGGATCATTTGAAATGAAAACATACTATTAAAAACTGAAGACAAACATGTTCACTTTTGGTGACTGTGTCATGGAAGTATTTTCTCACTTGTCCTTATTTCTTTTTGTATATATTTTTAGAAAGCGGTCATAATATGATAAACAAGCAATGAATTGAAAGTAAGAGATTTTGGTTGCAGCCCTGGCTTTTTCTCTAACAATTTGTGACTTTCCCTCTTTGGAACAGTTTTTTCATCTGTGTAGTCAGGTATTGGGCTGGGTGATTTTAAAGTTCCTTATAGCTCTAGATTCTACTTTTGAAATCCATAGTATTTCAAAATCCAAGTAATTATTAGGCATAAACTTTTATTTTATAACATACCAAAAGCAAAGCAAATATATAAGAAAACCGATGGCTAGAAGCTGACTTTAAAAAAAACCACTCAATTTTAAAAATTGGTATTTAAAATTTAAAAATAGTATTCTACTATCATACACCAAATGAGATGTAAGATTTGGTGTATCTCATTTGTAAGATGGAGTTGTGTTCTGGAAAGATCATAAAATTAAGAAATAATATGGCTGAGGTCTAAATCCTAGCTTTGCCAACCTGTATGATCTTGGAAAAAGTCATTTAAAAACATCTAGACTTTAATGCTTTTTAACTAAAACATTCAGAAATTTTATTAATTCTATGTTTCAGTTTAATGTTTATCCAGTAATAGTACAATAGCAAAGTTTTGTTTTCTAAAATACAAAAGGGTCCGTATGCACATGACATTCCCAATTAATAAAAGGTGAGAGAGTTCTAGCAATCTTGACCCTCCAGAAAAATGTCATATACATGAAAACTGAATAAAAAGATTTCTGATCCATGAACACCTCTACAAAGGGAGGAAGGAAAACCACCCCTGTGGTATAGGTAGTCAAAATAGTTGTTCCATTTCGCATTTCCTAACCAGACTTCCAGTTGGTGATTGCTACCTAGATGATGTGAATACAGTTTCTCCTATCATGCCCTCTCCATCCCCAGGTTAAGATTCAGGGGGTCTGCCATAGGCACAAAGAATAGGCATTTCTAACAAGTTCTCAGATGATGGTGTTAGTACTGTTTTGTGGAACATTCTGAATCACACTGCTGCAGAACTTTCTTTTCAACCTCCAATAAATTCATTTATATTATTGTGTGACATAAAAAAAAGATCATTTTGAATCTGGAAACTGGAGCTCACAAGCTTGCAACAAACAGAAGGAAAGCTGCTATCTTTTTTTTTTTTTTTTTCTGTAAGACTCAACAAGCCAGCAGTAACTTCATTATAAAAGACATAAAATGATCAAAAATTTTATCTTATAAAAATAAACTTACAAATTCTGAACATAACCTAACCTATAATATGGATGAGTAGAACTTGGTAAATTCAAAGAGTTTTCCCTCCTTTAAATTTTTCTTATATTTTTCAATGAACATTTATAAAAATACCATTGAAAAATTTATGGAAAACATACCTCTCAAATGTTGAGATTAGATGGATCAGAAGAAAGGTTTGAAGAACATATAGAAAACATTAAGACATAAACTTACATTGCAACTTTTTAGATGATCTCTTACCTGGCTTCTAAATATCGTCCAGTAACCAGCAGTAAACCTTTAAGAGCAATAAAAGTATCCCTTCCCCAGCAGCGGAAAAGACCAGAAGAAAAATGAGGTAAGCCTAACAGAAAAGATAAATATATGTAAATATAAATATAATAAACTGTATTATCACACAATAGTTACTCTAAACATGGGGTAGAAGAGTAAGTTACAATGTGTCTGCAAACTCTCTAAAATTATCTGCAAAATGTATGTCTGTTATGTCAACTTTTATGGAATGAAATTTTATATATATATATATATATAAAACCACTGAGGCAAATTTCCAGGCTCTTTTATTAATTTTGAGACAGGGTCTCGCTACATTCCTTCATTCCTTAGGGTCAGCATGCCTTAATTCCTGAGGCTAGCTTTAAACTCATGATCCTCCTGCCTCCACCTCCTGAGTCAATAGGATCATAGGCATGTGCCACCCCCCCCAGAGCAATTCTTCTTTTTTAAAAAAAATATTTGGTTTTTAGTTGTAGTTGGACACATACTTTTATTTTATTGATTTATATGCGTTGCTGAGGATCAAACCCAGGGCCCCACACATGCCAGGCAAGTGCTCTAGTGCTGAGCCACAACCCCAGCCCCAATTCTATATTCTTATCAGGTTATTTTTCGCTTGCTTGTTGGAGATAGGCTCTTTCTATGTTGCGCAGGCATTCTCCAGTTTCAGCTTCTGATGCTGGGAATATAGTGTGTACCACCACATCTGATTTACCAGATTTTTAGAAGACCCAAAGGAGAATAGAAAACAGTGTTAGATTTTTTTTGTTGAGGTTCTGGGACTAGTACCCAGGGACTCCTGTATGCTATGCCAGCACTTTACCACTGAGTTACATCCTCTGCCCCAAGAACCAGTGCTAGACAATTGATTTTAAGATTGCTAGACAACTGATTTCAAGATATCTTTAAAAAGACAAAAACCTTTATTTTAATAAATTAAAAGCAAGAAATCAAATATTTAACATATAAAGTAATATAATATGATACTAAGTACATGCTTTAAAGATTCTACCATGTCTTTAAGGATAATAAATAAATCTAAATATGAAATGATTACCTGAATGATAACCAACTAAATACGTATATTACTCTATTATTCTGGAGTCAAACATATTACCAAATTTCCTATTAATTTAAAATAAATTAATACTGTTACACTTTGTATACAATAAATAAATATAATGTTTGTCAACTAAAAATAAATATATTTTGGCTGGGTGTGGTGGCACAAGCCTGTAATCCCAACAATCTGGAATGCTGAAGCATGAAGTTCACGAGTTTGAGGCCAGTCTCAACAATTTAGCAAAGCCCTAAGCAACTTAATGAGATCCTGGCTCAAAATAAAAAAAAATAAAATAAAAAAGGGCTAGGATGAAGCTCAGTTATAAAGCACCCCTAGTCTCAACCTTCAGTACCTGCCCCCTCAAAAAAGGAAAAGTAAAAATAAATGAATTTTTAAAAAGTGTTATACTTTCATAAAAATTTTTTGCAGATGAAAACGGGATTTTGTATGCTAAACAATGAACATTCCTGGTAATTACAACTTTTATGTGTAAGATAAAAATAGGATATGTAATAGGAAAAATTCTAAAATTTTACTTTTAAACTGATTTGAGTTTCTTTATTTTTTTTTCCCTGTGATTCAGGGGATTGAAGAAAGGTCCTTGTACATGTTAGGCAAGTGCTCTACCACTGATTTACATTCCCAGTCCAGTTGGTTTTTTATAAAACATTTGAAGAAATATGATTGTTAGCTGTTATTTGTACTAAAAAAAATAGTCAAAAAATGGTGAAGCAGCCAGGTACAGTGGCACAGGCCTATAATCCCAGAAATTCAGGAGATAGAGGCAGAAGGATCACAAGTTCAAAGCCAGCCTCAGCAACTTAGTGAGGCCCTAAGCAATTTAGTGAGACCCTGTCTCAAAGTAAAAATTTAAAAAGGGTGGAGATGTAGCTCAGTGGTTAAGCACCCTAGGTTCAATCCCCAGAGCCAAAGGGGACCCCCCCCCCAAAAAAAAGAGAGAGAAAGAAAAAGAGGAAGAAGAAAAAGAGAAATATTGGAACAAAGGGTAACATTAGACATTTTTTTCTATGCTATCTCCAAAATGATAGTACAGAGTTTCCCTAAACACACTGTGTTTTTTTAATATGTTTTTTAGTTGTCAGTGGACTTTATTTATATGCAGAACTGAGAATTGAACCCAGTTCCTCACTCTTACTAGGCACAATCCCAGCCCACACCGTGTATTTTTAAATAATGGTTGATATACATGATTGATGGCTACAAACTTTGATGATGATGACAATGACAGCAGCTAACATATAGGTAGCAGTCTGTGTCAGACAGCATTCCTATAGTTTAACCCATTCAACATTTTGTATGAAACCTAGATAGAGAGATTCAAAGGTGACTTTAAATTTGTATATCCTAAAATATATACAGTCTGTCTTTGTTAAAAAGGAAAGGCTATAAAATCTGTATCACTGATATGTGGAAATATTTATATTAACTTTTTAAATTTGTTCTTTTTAGATATACATGAGAGTAGAGTATATTTGGACATATTATATATACAGGGAATATAATTCCCATTTTTGTGGTTGTACATGATGTGGAGTTACACTGGTCATGTGTTCATAATGTACACAGGAAAGTTACTTCTCAATTCATTCTACGGGCTTCCTATTACCATCTCTGCTTCTGTTCACTCCCCTTTGACTAATCCAACAAGCAAACATCTATTCTTCCCTCCCCACACACCCATATTAACCTTTTCATCTCTGAGAGTATACAACTTATAGATCATATATCTTTGGAATAATTTCTGCTTCGTCAATTATTATAAAAGTTTATAATTATAACATGTTTTGCAATACTATCACCAAAGAAATGAATTCCCAGCCATTTTAAAATGAACCTCCAAAAAACCTACCTGCAAATCTGAGTTTATTCTATTTTTGCCAGTAAACACTACGCAAAACATTCCATGCTAGAAGAAAATACCAGAATTTCTATTTACTTACTATACTATACTTGGATGTAAGTGTATCAGGTACCATTAACATATATTGGTATACAATTTATAAATAAATGCATGTATTAGGGGTATTTAACAGCAACAGCATACAATCAAAAGACTGAGATTACTATTTGATGTAATAGGCTTCTATGAAATAGGCTAAAACCTAAAATTCTTCATATCAGCATGTTTTTTCCCCACATTGGCTCAGTTCAGTTTCATGAGTATTTGCATGGATTCATTGGGAAATGACAGGTAGTAGAAGATCAAACAGTCAAGTGAAAATATGAAACAATTATAGAACTAAACCAGAGTTTTAATTTCATTCTTTAATAAAATTGTTTTATTTTTTTATTTTTGTGGTGACAGGGATTGATCCTAGGGCCTCACACATACTTGGCAAGTACTCTACCCCTGAGCTACATCTCCACTCCCAAAAAAGAGTTTTATGATTTTTTTATGATCATTCTAAATGAAAAGGTAATTTTTATTGTAGTTGTTGGGTACCATGAAGCCTTTTCATTTGATCTGAGCAGATACAAATTTAATGAAATTTAAATTTAACAGAGGGAGGCATGAATATATAATACTTTCTACAATTTCACATATTTCAGGTTAGTTTTGAGAATTCTCAATTTCAGTGACCTCCAGAATTAAATATTTTCCAGAAATATGATGGAAATTTATTTAAAAAGAAAGCCTGTTCTTTATCCTATTTTGCTTACTCATATTTGTTATTTGACTGAATTTTTTAATCTACTTTCAGGAACAGATGCCAATAAGCATGGCTGGAAGTATTTTATGTCCAATTGACAGCATCTGGATGCATAATAATATTAATTTCTTAAAACTTTTATTACTTGTGGCTGGGGCTATGGCTCAGGGTTAGTGTACTTGCCTGACATGTGTGAGGCATTGGGTTAGATTCTCAGCACCACATATAAATAAATAAAATAAAGGTCTATCAACAACTGAAAAAATATTTTAAAAAAAAAACAAAAAAAATTTATTAGATGTTGATAGACTTTAAATTTATTCATTTATTTATATGCAGTGCTGATAATTGAATCCAGTGCCTCACAGATGCTAGGCAAGCATTCCACCACTGAACCACAACACCAATCCCCATATAATAATTATTTAAAATCAGTTTTGTGTTTTGTAACTTATAGGACACCTTTAAATGATCTTTAGATAAGTTTATTTTAAAAACTGGGAAGAGATATAGGAAAATGGGTAATAAAATAATGATTTAAAACATATATTTTAAATATTATTTAAAATAATACCATGAGTTGGAAGAAAAGGATTAACCGGACACAATAAAAACACACATAAATGCCTCATACACAGTTATAACTAAATAATAACATGGTTAGTATTTTAGGAGTATCTATGAAATTTTACTAAGCAATAATATACAGTCTTGGATAACTTCATTAATTTTTTTAAAAAGTCTTTTTCTTGTAAGTTTTCCTTTTGAATACTATTGACTTATACATTTTAACCTTCTACAAAATTCCTTACCTGCAGCTAAAGAAGCACAACACTGCTGCTTTTCCTTTGTGATCTCATTCAACCTATATGGTACATCCAGAAGGGAAGGTGAAAGAAGTGGCAGAGAAGGGAATTTTCCTACTCCACACATTTGGACTGAACCCAGTGAAAGGTGTTTCACAAAGGTTGAACCATTCTGAACAAAGCTGTAATGAAAGTGATATGATCTGTAAAAATACAAAACTTTTTAGCAGTTTTATTCTGTTTTTCCCCTTCAAATGATTTCTCCACACAAATGTATAAAGATAGTAATATAGTAGGAAAAAAATGTTCAATTTGATTAGATTTCAAAACTGCTTTCATGGCATCCATTATTTTAGCCGGCTTTAGTCCAGGCCTTGTTGTAACACAAATGGCAGAATTGAAGTGCTTTTTCTTTCTGAAAAATCTGAAAACATGCCCAAATCAACTTGCTGGCTCTCATAATTCATTTCCATTTGTAGTTTCATTTTAGAAAATTTCATTGTAAAAGGCAGATTTCATTCATACTAATACCAGAATATTTTTTTCTTTTAATTGATGAAAATTAGAGAAAGAACTCTATGTACATATTCTAAACATTATATCAATTAAATTTAACAAATCAATGAATAAATAAATAGAAACAAATAACATAAAACAAGTTAATTTTTCCCAAACATATTTTATATAGAACAGATTTTACATGGGTTTGTTTTTGTATGTTTCAGACTAAAGGATGTTAATAAATTTACTCTCCACTTAAAAACTTTTCCAGCTCTGAGTCTCCAAATTTCATGCTTTGGTCTTTTAAGAGCATGTGTAAAGTGACTCTGTGTATAGTTTCTATGCAAACACACCTATTTACATAAGCTTTGTTGGATATACCTTGACATCTGCTTCCATGCTGCATCCAGAAGAGTGGTGTATGCACCAATTAATATAGCATCAAAGTAACATGGGATAAGGTATCGTGGGATCTGCTTCAAGTAGAAGAACATAGCCTGCAACCATTTACCAACCTGTTGTAAAAATAATTTAAAAAGTTAATTTGGTGTGTTCACAGGCTACGCATATTTTAAGAGATAAATCATAACATGAAACTGTGCTATCCAATAATTCATGAATCAAATTTCCATGTATTAAAACTAGAAACACAAAGAAGGGAGGAAAAAAGGTATATATAGATATATAATGTATATATCTATATATAATAATTCTTATTGTGCCTTTGCTTATTTTAGAGTAGGACACAGCTTACTTATTTAATACTTACTTCAGCAATATTTCCTGAACGTGAAATAAGCCGGCCACTGACATAATCGATCATCCAATCTCCAGATCTCAAATTTTCACAGAAAGGATGCCCCAAGTCATTCTTTGGTCTTATTTCTGCCAATACGGACATTAGCCCTGAAAATTCAGATATACCATGCTGCATTACTGATAGAGTCAAAATGTCCCATAGTTGAGTTATGGCTAGTCCTGATGATTTGACGTGAACAGAGAAGCAGACAAAATGGCCACTTAGTCCACAATGGCACTCAGCATAGTATGAGGAAAGTGTGGCGGTATGGACTGGAACCAGGATGCAAAGGCGTGTTGATGGACACTACTGCCACAATTCATACAAAGCTTCCAAAAAGTTATAACTTGTGGCACTGGTCTACTTTTTTTTTAATGTTATAATATTCAAAGTCAATTGGCATTTTTATTTTTGCCTTAAGACATAAAGGAGAAAAAATTGATAATCCTGTATCTTTCCATGTTATAAAGTGGTAAATTCATTATAATTCAGGCAAGATTTAAGAAAATCACAGAACTGGTCTCGGAGAAAGCAAGAATACCTATGGTGATAAGAAGAATAAAGCTTGCTTTTGAGGGACTCTGAGGAGGCACTTCAAAGTAAGCAAATTATCAAAGTGAGATATTAGGAAAATTCTCATTTAGGCAAAATTATTATTAGGCAAAATTCTTAAATAGATGCATTAGAATGTCTATGTGTACATAGCAGAGTCTACTATTCAATGAAAGAACAATTGCATTTATTTTATTATTCAACATGATAATCATAGCTTAGCTACTGTGAATTATGCTGCTATAATGCCTGCATGACTGTAGTATGTGATTTTAAATTGTTTGGATATATGCTAAGGAGTGGGTCAAATGGTGGTTCCATTCCTAGTTTTCTAAGGAATCTCCCTCCATACTGTATTCCAGAGTGACTGCACCAATTTGTAGTCCCACCAACAATGTATAAGTGTACCTTTTTCCCCATATCCTTCCCAAAATTTATTATTGTTACTTGGATTCTTGATAATTGCCATTCTCACTGGAGTGAAATGAAATCTCAGTGCACATCAAAAGATGAATGGATAAAAAAAATGTGGTATATATACACAATGGAGTATTACTCAGCCTTTATGACATTTGCTAGTAAATGATGGACCTGGAGACTATCATGCTAAGGGAAATAAGCCAATCCTCAAAAACCAAAAGTTTTCACTGATATGTGGAAGCTAACCCACAATAAGGCGGGGTGGTGAGAAAACAGAAGTTCAGATTAGACAAAGGGGAACGGAGGGAAGGGAGGGGGAATAGAAAAAGAAAAGGTAATGGAATTAATCTTACATAATTTTGTTATGTACATGTATGAATACCCCACTGTGAATCCCACCCAGGTGTACATCCATAAGAATGATGTCCTAATTAGAATAAAATACATTCCCTGCTTATATAGTTATATCAAAATACACTCTACTGTCATGTATAACTAAAAAGAACCAATAAAAATTAAAATTAAAAATTAATCATTCCCACCTTATTAAAAATGTTATTTTGGTTTCAGTGATATCAACTAAATTTAGTTAGAATTTAATGAATCCATGAACTGTGTATATGGTATATTCTGAGAAATAAATAAATTTAAGATAAAGTTTTTCCTTCAAGGGAAGGAAAATTTGGGAAATAAAGCTTAAATACAAAAAAATCAGGAAAGCAAGACAGTATAAAATAACATTCTACATATGTCCTAAAACTTTTGTGAAAGGTGAATGTTGCTCAGTAAATATCAGTACCACTGATGAACAATGAAATTTGATGGGAACAATGTTTCAGGAAACAGATCTGACAGTGACCAAAGGGATGGAATTAAGTGTGGAGGAAGGAACAACAGCTAGAGTGAAAATGGAGTAGGGTAACTGCTTAAAACAACTAACAGATACATTTACTTACTACTCATAGAACAAAATACTTTGTTTTGCCAATAAATACAGCAGGTCTCAGAAAAATGTACTAGAACTTATGTGCTTGCTTTAGTAGGAGGTATAAAAGCTGAGGACAAGAACCACAAAAAAGATTAAAAGCTACATTCTTCTTTCTCAAGTTATAATCTTAGTAGAATTTTAGAGTAAACACTTCCTAAGTGCTTATTATGAACTCAGTATTGTCTAAGTGTCTTAAATGCATTAACTCCCTTCATTCTATCAACAATCCCTTGTGATAGATACTATTATTAGCGATATTTTTCAATGAGAAAACTGAACCATAGAGAGTTTAACTACTCTAAGGTTATGCAGCTACTCAGTGGAACCTAGGTCTAGTTTTAGAGACCCGCTTCTTAAATACAATGATAAAAATTCATAAAAAATTATAAGTACCAAAATAAGGTAATATATTCCAGAAAGTATAGTAAATAAACGTAATGGGTGTCTGTCTGTAGAACAAAGAAATTACTGAAGAAAGTGATAGTTTGTAAAAGTTCAGCTGGGCATGACGGTACACACCTATAATCCCAGCAATTTGGGAGGCTGAGTTTGGAGGATTGCAAGTTCAAGGCCAGCCTGGGCAACTTAGTGCAACTCTGTCTCAAGATTAAACAATAAAAAAAGGCAGGGGATGCAGCTCAGTGGAAGAGCATCCCTGGGTTTAATCCCTGGTACTGCAATGAAAACAAAACGTTAAAAAAATAAAAATAAAAGGAAAGGCTTTATGGAAGGTGTAAAAATGAAACTGGTCCTTAAAGAAGGGTTAAGTGACAAAGAAATAAAGGTCAAAAAAGAGGCATGACAAATGGGAAAATATATGAACCAGAAATATGGGTTTGATAAACCAAATTTCTTATACAAAAATCTGGGAAAATATTACCAACCAGACAGATTAATATTAAACTCATAGTTAAATATTTGGTTTCTATAACCCATCTTATAAATACTCTAACTACATAAGTTTGTTCCCCACTCCCTCTCTTAGATGCTGGGAATCAAACCCAGGGCCTTCAGCATGCTAGACAAGAACTCTACCACTGAGCCATGTCCCTAGCCCTGTAAGTTCCTTTATAGGAGGAAACAAATATGCAATAAGAACAAAAATCCAATTAGTCCAATTAGATGAAGAAGGAAGAAGAATGTGTTATATTTATAACTCAGTTTCTTTTGGAGACTAAACAAACATATTCTGCTTTTTGAACATAATAAACCAAGTCAAAAAACATTTATTAAGGTTAAAGTATATTTAAGAATTCTAAATGATTTGAACGAATGACACAGGACCAGTAATTCTAGGTAGCATTTACTGAGTGAATGCCTTGTGCTACACCCTGGTTATAGTGTTTTACTTGAATGATTTTATTTACTCCTCATGAAGCCTTCTGAATTAGTCAATTTATTCACATCTTACTGAGGCAGGAACTGGGGTACAGAGAGATTATGTTACTTGCCAAAGGTCAATGAGTATGGAGCAGAGTCACAGTTTGAACCCAGGCAGTTGCACTCTCAGCCCATACTTCTATTTATTTAAAGAAGACATTGAATGTCTGTAAAAGAAAAATGAAAAGTTTGTCTATTCTTATACTTGCTTACCTTGAAGACCTGCATATTTAAGGGAAGACCAGTTTGGTATGTCATAGCAACCTCCACCATCTTCCTGTTCTTCTGATTCACATCGGTAAAGTATCTGATTTAGCTCAGTCAAAGTTAATTTAGAGGCAATACTAAGAATTGAAAAACAAAGATAAATGGTTAAATATACTGACTTTTACTTGCTTTTAATAAAAGCAAAAGAATAAAACCTGCATTATAAAGTATCTTTGTAACGTACATTTTAGGAACTCAGTTTTAAAATAAACATCATATATATGTTATAAATAGTAATTAAGATGCTAGAAATTAAATTACAACTAATATTACTCCAAAACCAAGTACATGATTAAAGTACCAAATTTTATTGATTAAAGCATGATGGAGGACTTAAAATCAGCATACTACAGTGACGCAACCACATCAATGTTTATAGCAGCTCAATTCACAATAGCTAAACTATGAAACAAACCTAGATGCCCTTCAACAGAGGAAAGGATGAAGAAAATGTGATACATACACACAATGGAATATTACTCAGCCTTAAAGAAAACTGAAATTATGACATAGGCAGGTAAATGGATGGAACTAGAGAATATCATGCTAAGTGAAATAAGCCAATCCCAAAACACCAAAAGCTGAATGTTTTTTTCTGATAAGTGAATGCTGATCCATAGTGGGGTGGGGGATAGGGAAAAATGAAGGAACACTGGTTTGTGTACAGGGAGGTCAAAGGAGTCAGGGGAAAGGTGTGGTTGTGGGGAAGGGAAGGACAGTAGAAAGAGACAGACATTATTATCCTATATATATGTATGATTACACTAGTGGAGTGACTCTGAACCATGTACAGCCAGAGGAATGAGACGCTGTGCTCCATTTGTGTACTATACGTCAAAATGTATATTCTTCTGTAAAATAAATAAATAAATAAATTTAAAAAAAAAAAAAGGCATGATGGAGCCAGCTGTGGTGGCGCACACCTACAATCCCAGTGGCTGAGGAAGCCAATACGAGAGGATCTCAAATTCAAGGACAGACTCAGAAATTTAGCAAGGCCCTAAGCAACTTAGTGAGACCCTGTCTCAAATAAAAAAATAAACAGGCCTGGGGATGTGATTCAGTGGTAAAGCATCCCTGGATTCAATCTCTAGTACTGGGGGTGGGGTGGGGAGAATACAAAGATCTTTTGGTTTTTTATATACTTTATAAGTCTATTTTTTAGTTCTTTCAGTTAGACTTAGTTTTTTCCCTGATAAGTGCGACATAAAGAACTTTTTATGCTGTTTATCTTAAAAACTTGGAATACCTATCAAAGGATCAATAAAGGGATAATCAAAAGTCAAAGTTAACCACCTAAGAAACAACAGTCTCTGCCTTTGTATTTCTCTCCTGGCACCATCTTTCGTATCAGGTTGCACTGCCCCTCAGTTCCATCATTCAAGAAACCAGCATCTTCTCAGAAAAAAAAGATGCTTCTTGATAATGGTCAGAGGAAAGTCTAAGTGTCGTGGCCTTAATTTCCCTTCATTCAATTAGCACTGAGACTGTAAAACTGACTGCAGATGAATATACCTGAGTTGTATTTTCCTGTATTTCTGGTTGCTCAGGTGACTTCATTTTACATAATTGCAATTTTATGTGAACATATGTCCTCTTGAACATACATCCTTCTTGGTCTTTTTGTTCTGTCTTGGCTTAGAGCTGTGCTTTGTCTCTATCTCAGCCTCTCTCCTCACAGCTATATTTCATGAATCAAGACTGACCATTTGCAGACTTAATACCAACTTCACTTTAGGGCATTACTTTCCAACATGTAGCCAGTGGACTCCTTCCACAAGAATAACCTTGAAAGCTGTTTAGAAGGCAGATTTCTTGCCCTTGCCCTGAAATAATCAGAGTAGGTTCAAGGGGGAATGTGCTTTTATAAGCATTCTACAGAAACATACATCTATTGCAGATTGTTTTTTTAGCAGCTACTTTGCTAAGAACGGTTTGAATTTCTTAATTCTTTAATTCTTAATTTCTTAATTCTTAATTTCTTAATTTCTTCAATAATAAATGTGCTCATAAAACAACAAAAAATTTAACATCAAAGAAAAATGGGCTAATATATAAAATGACATTTCACCAGATAAATACAAATGGACAAAAAAATTAATTAATATGTTGAGATGTTATTTTAAAGTATTTTATACTTCATATTTACCAATTTAATTAGTAATAACTAACATTTATGATCATTTACTGTGTGTTAAACACGATGTGTTTTATATGAATAATTCTCACAACTCTCCATTAACAGGCACTCATTCTTATTTCTTATAGCTAATAAGAATCAAAAAAATAATAATTCTTACCTAGTCTGGGTCTACACTCAGCTTTAACCTACTGCATTACAATAATATATATTCAGTATTGGTAAGGATGGACACTCTAACACTGAGCTGAATATTCTCATTAGTACAATCTTCCTGGAGAAGACTTGGCAGTATAGACTGAAAGACACAATCTTCTAATACAATCTAACCCCAAATTTAATTTATGGAAACTTATCCTAATAAGAATGAGAACAAACACATCAAGCCCTCTATGTGCTAGTCATTCTATTATAAGTGGTTTGTATTTGCCCTATTTAATCCTTACAAAACCTAAGAGGTAGATACTATTTATTATAAGCCCTTTTTCCCAGATGAGGATTGAGCTGAAGAAAGTTATTAATAACTTGTCTAAAATCATATTGATGGTGATGAAATTATAATTGAACCTACATCTAAGCTTCAAAACCCATATTATTCAGTATTAGTGGAACACATAGAAAGTGAATAATTAAAGATTTATTCCAAGACGAATGTACAAAGACATAAATAATAGGGAATAATTAGAAGCATTCTAGATGTCCAAAATGGAAAATGATTGAATAAATCATGGTATAGCCATATAATAGAATAATATGTTAAAATATTTAAAAATGATGTAGTAAGGAGTGTGATGTATAGAACCTAATCTCAGTTCAATAAAATTGTGTGTGTGTCTCTGTTTATGTAGACATGTATGTATCTATATCTGAAGAAAGACTGCACAAGAATGAGAAAGCACCCCTGTGAATACACACATGAATGATAATATAACAGGATAACAATAGCTGATGCTGACACTGCTGGTCCCTGCACCACACTTTGAGTAGTATGGACAGAGAGGACCCTTAACGTGTTTAAATCAAGACAGCAACAACTCACCAGTTATTAAAATGTTAAATCTCTATAAAATAAGACATACTTACGAAGCAAAGGGGATTTTTAATATAGGATCTGCGTTGTCAACAACAAGGCTCCCAGATTTAAAGTGAGGACTGAACTGTGTCAGATGATTTCGAAGAATTCCAACAGCAACTTGTGCATGTGGATCAAGACTAACTCTGAATGATGTTAATAAAAAATGGTTGATTTTTAGGAGTGATTTATTCAAAGTTTACAGTTAAACTGTTTTAAATATAAGTAAAGTCAATAATTTGAACTCTAATTAACATACCTGAATATTATAACACTTCCTGGAGACAAGTTTTCAAATTCTATTTCTTGAATATATTCATTGGGCCCTTTTGTGGCAACTCCAGCTTGTTTAACAATTTTACTTTCATTAAGCTTGAAAAAAATTATGAAAATCCATTCAACAAATAATTCACATGACCTTAAAATATTCAACATAATAGAAAGAGGTGAATCCCAAATACCTGAATATGTTCTCTAATTTCTACTGTGATATTTGGTAACCCATTGATTGAATTCTCATCCTTCTTATAAGGTTTTGTATTTCTCTCAATAGTTCTAGCTTCAAGAACTACTTCTTCAATTTTGCCTACAAATATATTAAAAAGTTAACAAAAAATTGTTCCTAATGTACATTCAAAATTTAAATAAGAATATTACCAACCATAGTAAATTTTATTAAAAACTGAATGACAAAATACGAAATACACTTAAAATCACAATTTGTAGACTTAACAGATGGAAATGTTTTAAGAATCATTACTGATCAAAACAAAACCTGAGATAATACTGTACAGTGATGGAGTTCTGTAAAAGTAACTATGAAGGGATGGGGCTGGGAGCACAGGTCAGTAGTAGAGCATGTGCTAAGCATACAGGAGGCCCTGGGTTCAATCCCCAGCATCAAAAATAGAAAATAGGGCTGAGGTTGTGGCTCAAAGGTAGAGTGCTCACCTAGCACATGTGAGGCACTGGGTTCAATCCTCAGCACCACATAAAAATAAATAAATAAAATAAAATCATCATATCCATTGACAACTAAAAAAAAAATAGAAAATAAACACAAAAATCTATGAATATTAGTAAAGATTCAATGAGATTACTGAATATAAATTTAACAGTTAAGGAAAGTAAGGAATATTTAACACTAAAACTATTCAGGTTGATAATATTTAAAGATTGGAATTATACATATTTAGCAACCAGCAATGAACACCTATAGAATGTGATTATTTTTATGAGACTCTCCAAAGTCGTACTGTTGCTGCTTACACAGAATCAAGCTATGCTATAATATACTATCTGTAATAACAAGAAAATAAAATATACTTATCTAGAAAAAAGTCTAGAAATAATAACATATCTCAGGGATATAGTTTATAATTATCAAAAGAGAGACATAGAATATGATTATTATATGTTTAGAAAGAAAAATCAACTGAGTATGTATAGGTTTTTCAAAGAGGTGGAACTTTAGTCCTTGAAGGAGATAAATCATATACAGATAGAAATAAGACTTCTTGGGAAACAGTGAAAACATCTATTTGGCTGAAACAGTAGAGTAATGCAGGGCTAGGATAGTAGATGAGGATGGATTGCAAGGAATCTTAAGTATCACGTTAGACTATTTTCCATTTTTGTTTATATATGTGTATGTGCGCAAATGCAATACATACTTATACACACATATAAATGTATGTCACACATATAAAAAGAAATATTTATCTATGTCAGAGTATAAGACAAATACATGTTCATTATATACATATTAAGGGAAAACAGAATGTATTAAGATGTAAACAAAACATTTTAAAATTCAAAAAAAGGTTAATATTTGAGTGTATTTCTGTCCAGATTTTGTTCCATGCAATAAAAATGTAAGTTATCCAAAATATGTAATTCCTCTTTTTAACTACATTCACACTTGCATTTGTTATATAGAACATATAATGATGACGTATATGGCATTATAGTATAATTTAATATAATGATATAATTACAATAACAATTTTTAGATTACATTACCGGGGATACACATTTGAGGCACTTCCTTGCTGTAAAATGAAGTTTTGGGATTCCTGAAAGCAGTTCTAGATACAGCCACAACAGACTGATGAATATTGGGTGAATGTCTGGTTACGGCCACTATATCTTCATCAACCTGATCCACATACACCTGAGAAGTGAAAAAAGGCACTTAATTAGCACTCAAATTGTAAGTGAGTGCTCAAACTGATAAGTCTTCCCCTGTAAACTTTCAGAAAGACATTTAGGAAACTTGGTCTCTTGCCTGAATAAAGCCCTTGGCTCCAAGCTCTTGATGAAGTTTATTGATAGCACACCTGGCTGCAATAATTCCACTTTGGAAATTGACATCACCGGTATTTGATGGGGATGCTCCAGGATTCCACTTAGTATAAAACCGTTCTTCAGAAACCACTGATATCTGGAGAACGGTAAAACTTGGCCATGTATACATTTTAATTACAATGAGAGTTTTTTGATAAAAATGCTAATCATATGAATTTTAAAAAACAACACATAAACAAACCTGATGAGGTACTAGTTCATCATAGCCTCGTGTACTTCCACTAGCACAACATGCCATAGAAACAATTGTGGTACTTGGGAGAGCATCATAGGCTGATCTATGCTAGGAAACAATTAAAAAGCAAAATATACTTTCTTTCAAAGGAAAAGCACTGTATCATAATAAAATAAATAAGTAAAATTCTGTATCATAATGAAATAAAAAATAATTACACAAATACATTCTATAAGATACATTAATTTCTTCTACAACAAAAGAACATCTTTAAAACCATAAGCTATAATTGCTTTTAAATCTAAGATACTATTTTGAAGTATGTGGATATTTATGCCACAAAATATCAGATAAGTAAATATCAAAATATGTAGCAAAATAAGTAAATACAAGAAATGGAATGATGCTTACCACAATAGGACACTCGTTATCATGGGTAATATCCATAAACAGAGCATGTGCAATAGCCGGCATTAAGGGTCTCAAGCAGGGCTGAACAAAAGATCCGACAGGTTCGCCTCCATATCGGTAAACTAACCTGCCCTCTTCATGACTATTATATGCACTCATTGCCTCTGCGGAGCATTACAGAACATTTTAACAATCTCTATTACTTATGTCCAAGAAAAGGTTAAATTTCACAATTGATTTTTAAAATAAAGAACACATCAGTATAATCAAAAATAAAACTTCTTTAAGCAATTTCCTAAGTAATTAATGATAATTACTAAATGTCTACTAGTTTAAATGACCAAAGAAGTCTTTTATAACTTAGGGGGAGAGATGGCTCAGATAGAAAAAAGGAAACCTCAGGTGTTTATTGAGATGTTAGCTATACAAAAATCTATAGGAAAAAAATCTAAAAATTATATCATATACCTAGGTAGAAAATGAAGAACAGATTTGTATATTTTTAACAACAAAAAATGGTTTTGATTGTGAGCCATTAGATCATCCTGCCAACCTTGTGATTTGGAATGAAATCTTTTACCCCAAAGTAGAAATATTTACTGATAAAAATAGATTGAGTTAGATTGGAAACTCTCCATAGACTATCCAAAAGAATATTAATTGTATTGAAAATTATTAAGAATTACATTAAAAAACTACTAAATGTCTTTTAGTACACTTAAACAAAAGCTGAAGTTTTAAATGGGAAAGACACTTCAACAAGCCTACCTCTTATTAAGGAACTAATGCCCAGTCTAGTAACAAAGATATTGTCCAGTTCTTCGTTTCCCGTGAACAGTTCAGCTACTACATATAAATTGGGTTGTAATTTCCTAGCAGCATCCAACATGTACTGAAAAAAGCACAGTCACACATGTAAAAGAGAGAAAAGTGAGACAGGTAGGAAGGGAGGAGACAAGACTAGGCATGGGTTTAATACAAGAAGATACATATGGTAAGACAAAATGAAAATTCAGAAAGAATTCCAAATGAAGTTTGATGCACAAATGTGACAAAACAACAAACAGAACCAACAAACATAGGAAATATGAGAATATGTAGAGTAAAGCAGTTAAAAAGAAGTTTAAATTTTGCAGAGATAGGGACACAAGGGAGAAAAGAAGAAGAAAAATGTTAGT